GATAAACAGTGGAGCTTCCAAACTAAGCCTGGAGACCGGTCTGGCTATCCACTTTTGAAATAATGGGCCTGTTACAACCCTATGAATTGAGCTCTGTTAGTGGACATATTGTTGTTGTGTACATAGAGTCAGACGTGAACCATAGCAGACCCTCCACTGAGTTTTCAGAGACAGTTAATCCCACAGGAGGAGACTTCTCCCACAGAGCAGCTGGTGGCAGTGCAACTTCTAGCTAGTATATAGTGAAGTCTTATTACAGCAATTCACTTAGTACCAATAGATCAGTGCTGTGTGGTAAGAATATTTTTCGAGACAGGCCAGATAATTTTTCAGGAGATCAGGAGTAAGTTTTCAATGCTACACCAAAAGCTCAGTGCTTTAGATCCATCAGCTGCGCTTTGGGAGAAAGGGGGGAAATCTCCTCCTATAAAGATTTTCAGCCTCAGAAATCTGGCGAAGGGTTGCTGTGTATCAGAACTGACTCGAGGGCAGCGCCTTTGGTGGGTTTTAGTATACATACACAGTCTGGAATCCTAACCAGTGCGTAAAATGATTTTAAACAAAATTCCCTTTGATAACACTAATTTGGAGAGAATCCAGATCTAAAATGAATTATTAGCCTGACTCAGAGTGTAGCTGACTGTGGCCCTTGATTGCTTTCCAGACAGAAGTGCGTGCTGAATTGGTGGCAGCTGATTCTCATTCTTTTGAGGATGACTTGCCACTAGAAAATACCTACAGCAAGCAGTATATCAAGTTTTCTAGAAGAGCAGAAAAAGAAAACTTCACCTGAAAGTAGTGTTTGGCCCCCAGAACCTAAACAAACGTAAGTTACAAACTAGATTGGCATTTTTATTTATATATATTTTAAAAATAAAATTTTAATTTTATACTGGTTTACTCTAAGTTCTTATACATTGATTTTCACATCAGATCTTTCTCATTTCCTTCACCCAGCCCTCCCTCCACTCATCAAATTGTGTGACTCTGTGATAACCCACCCCACCCTGCCATCCTTACCCCTTTGCTCCCCAACCCCTGGATCCTCATACATGTTTTACTACTTATCTTTCCATTTCTACAATAACGGTCTTATATAGTATTTGTCCTTGTGGGACTGAGTAAGTTCACTTAGCCTAATGCTCTCTAGTCCCACACAAGTTAGGGAGTGATTTTCAAAATTATTGCTCTTGCATGCTGCATAGTATTCCTTTGTGTGAATGTATCAGAATTTCTTAATTCATTCAATTGTGTTTGGACATTTTAGGCCTTATACTTTTTAACATGTTTAAGAGCACCAAATATCGAGCTCATGCAGTCTCCTATCAAATATATAGGATGTATTGGTGACTATTGTTTCCTAAGAAACTATTCTTAACACTTTTTTCCTCACTTCTACTTTTGAGGAGATAAAGGATTACTGATTTCCAGGTATAAGAGAGAAAGTATTCACGTGTTTATAAATTTAGAAGAGAAGTGTTCTCCACCCTGGGTTTATGTTCTCCATGAAATTGAGACACTTGAATCCTCTGGCAATTCTTCTTTGTATGCTGCAGTGCATGATTGAGTTTTATTAGTTATAGGAGAAGTTCTGCCGTGAGAGAATCTGAAACTGTTAACCTCTGAAAATCCACTAGAGGGTCAGCTATTCCGTGGCAATGAGGTTTTTTAAACAGAAATACTTAATCTGCAGTTTTAGTGTTTAGAAAATTATTTAACCCCTGCCCCACCATCAGAAAGAATAAAACCTCTAGGAAAACATTTGGGTTTATCCAATCTTCTCTTTCTCCTGCTAAATGTGGGTATTACCTGTTAGTAACGTTGGTAATTACCTGTGTAGAGTGAATGAAGAGACATCTAAGCCATTGTCTCTCCTCTACGATAAGCCTGTTTCCCCCTCTTAGTCTGAAATTTTCACCAGTAAACCTTTATGTTAGATAATAAAAGGTAATGTAATTATTTCTGGAACAAATATAGATCTCTTCCAATCAGTTGGCCAAGTGGTTGTTCTCCAGATTTCTTGGCACAACTTGGTGAGCACATTCAGGGCAACATCTGTTATCTGAAATACTTTAATTGGTATACCATCTATTCTGGGGGCCTTATTTTTTGCTATTCCCTTCAAAGCACCTTGAACTCCTCCCTTCATCACCATAGGCTCTTGCTCATATGTCATTTCCTTAAATTCCTCTGTATCTGCCAATTCCTTTCTATATAATGACTCAGTATATTCCTTCCATCTTC